CCCCGGCACCCCCGGACCCCGGCACCCCCGGACCCCGGCACGCCCCGGACCCCGGCATCCCCGAACCCCGGCACCCCCTGGACCCCGGCAGCCTCCCTGACCCCCCAGCATCCCCTCTGCCCTTTGGGATCTCCCGTGGCACCCCCAGCCTGGCCCTGTGCTCTCCGGGGGACGAGTTCTGGGGGGATTCGGGGACTTCAGGCAGGTCCCCGCGGGGGACAGGTCCCCTTGGGACCCTGGGTTTGTTCCCTTGCGTTTCTGGGGGTGCCCCTCTTGTGTCCCTGGGGTGTTCCGGGCACCTGGGGACTCCTGACCTCCGGAGGCCCCCGGAGACATCCGGACTCCCCCGGGGACCACCTGGAGCCCCCCCCGGAGCCTTTCTGGAGCCTGCCGGGCCGCCTCCGGCCCCGTTTCGCGCCCTCGCGGTCCCGCCGAGCCCCGGGCCCGGTACTCACGGGGTGGGGGTTGGGCTTCTGCCGCGACCCCCGGGCCCGACCGCGACCCCGCGCCCCGCCCGGCCCGGCCCGCGGGGAGCGGCGGGAGCCAATCAGAGAAGGGGCGGGGCAGGAGAGCAGCCAATCAGGGGCGAGGGGCGTGGTCAAGGGGCGTGGCTTGGGCTGGGGCGCGGGGTCCGGGGACAGCGAGGGGACAGCGAGGGGACAGAGAGGGGACAGGGGGGAACGGGGGGGGACAAAGGGGGGACAGAGAGGGGAGAACGAGGGGACAACGGGGGAACAGCGAGGGGACAGCGGGGGGACAGCGAGGGGAGAACGAGAGGACAACGGGGGAACAGCGAGGGGACAGCGGGGGGACAGCGAGGGGACAGAACCCCCCAGCCCCCGGTCACCTCTCACGTGTCCCCCCGCCGAGGGACCCCGTGGCCGGTGTTCCACCCCCGCTCCCGGTGTCTCCACCGCCGTTATCGCCACCCCCGGTGTCCCCTCCGCAGGTGTCCCCTCGCCACGTGTGTCCTTGCCGCTTGTTTCCCCCATCAAGGGACACAATGGCCGCTGTCCCCACCCGCTCCAGGTGTCCCCATCCCAGCGGAACCAACTCCAGGAGACGCGATAGCCGCCAGCCCAAGTGTCCCCACACCAGATGTCCCCACCCATGGTGTCCCCACGCCAAATGTCCCCACCCATGGCGTCCCCAGCCCCAAGGAACCCAAAGCCAGCTGTGCCCACGCCAAGCATCCCTTTGCCAGATGTCCCCACCCCAGGTGTTCCCGTGCCACCAGAGCCCCTCAGGGTGCCCGGTGTCCCCAAACCCTGCGGGTGCTCAGGCCAGGGGACAGCAGCGCCTGACGGGTGGCAGAGGGCCGTGGGTGACCCCCGTGGGTGGCCTCGTGGGGCGGGAGACAGCCGGGAAAGGGGACAGGCAGGGGGCACGGCGGGTGTGGGGTGGCACGGGCAGGGACACGGCGCCAGCGCTGCCTTATCCCAGGGGAATTCGTGGGGAAAGTGGGATGGGGACCTTCGTGGGGTCGGGGCAGGGCGCGTGGGGAGGGGCTGAGCGCGGGTGGGTGCGTGTGCGTGCGCTGGGCAGTGCGGGTGCCCACGGAGGGGGTGCCACCCTGTGCCCCCCCAGCCCTGTGCCCCCCTCCCCCGGCCGGTCCCGCTCCCGGCGGGGTGAAGAAGGTGCCGAGGCGGCGGCGGGGGAGTCGCCTCCGGTAACCGGGTGTTTATTGGGGCCGCGGGGTACAGCCCGCGGGCGGCCGCATGCATGGCCGCTGGGGGGGGGGCTCCCGCCGCCCCCTGCCCTATTTACAGCCTGCCACCCCCTGGGGACCTGCCATCCCCCGGGGATCTGCCATCCCCCCGCGACACGCCACCCCGGGTGGGTGCCGGGCAGGGCTGGCACCGAAAGGGCACCCTTTGCCAGCAGAGAGTGGGTTCGGTGGGGACCCCCCATGGGTGCCCCCCCAGCCCGGCTGTGCTTTCCAGGAGGGGGTGCCGGGGGAGGGGGGAAGGATGGGCAACCCCCAAGCTGGCACTGGGAAAGGGCTGACCCCAGACTGGCGGTGGGACTGTGCCCCACCCCCAGATAACGCCACATTCGGGGGGGCCCCCAGCCCCCCCCCCCCCCAAAATGTTCACCGGGTTCCATCACCACAACCAACGCACCCCCGGCCGGGTGTCCCCAGGGGGCTGGCAGCACCCAAAAGCCCCCCCCCCCACCCGCGGGTGCCACTGTGGGGCTGCGGGCTGGGGGGCACAGCCCGGCGCCCGTGTGTCCATCCCGCTGCCCCCCAGGGATGCCCCCCCCAAGATGCTGCGAGCCCTGGGCCCAGCCTGGGGAGGGGACACGGGGGACGCTCCACCCCGGCTTGTGGGACAGCGCAGCCGGAGCGCAGGGCACTGCCCCGCGCCAGCCGGGCACACCCCCAAACCCTATCCGGGGGCACCCAGGGGGTGCCTGTCCCCCCCTCACCCACGTAGCACCTCACCCCATGCCCGCAGCTCCTGCCCGGCCACCCCTCCCTGTCCCCAGGGAGCCGGGGCCCCCATCAGTGTCCTGGCGAGGGGGACGCACACAGGGTGGCACCCTATTTTCCCGAGGGAGTCCGCTCCACGCCGTAGCGCAGGAGGTGGTGCAGGTCCGTCAGCGGCCGCGGGGTGCCCGCTGCCCGGGCTGCCCGGGCTGCCGTCCCGTGCCTCCCGTAGCCTCCCGCCGCCGCCTCGCCGCTGTTGAACGTGTGGTTCCTCTTGAGGTGGGCGCCGGGGCGGCCCGTGCCGTTGTTGGCGTTGAAGTTCAGCTGCTCGGGGTGCCAGGGCGGCCCCTCGGTAAAGTCTCCCCCGTCCCCGCTGGGTGCCGAGACCACCCGCCGGCGCTCGGGGCTGGGGTGCGGCGTCCCGCCGAAGTCGCCGTAGGAGCTGCGGGGCGGGCGGCGGGCGCCGGCGGCGGGTGGGTGCTGCCGGGTACGGGGACCCTCCTGAGGGTCTCGACCCCAATGCCCGTCACCTGAGGAGTCGCTGAGTTCGGCCTCCAGCTCCTGGTCCACCAGGATGGCGTGGCAGGAGAGGGGGATGCCCCGCGGCGGGCGGCCGGAGCCGCCGTGCCCCCGCCCGGCGCCCGCGGGGCCGGAGCCTCCAGGGTCCCGCAAAGCCGCGTTGATGATGTTGTGACTCTGCTCCCACGTGCAGTTTTGGAGGGCTCCGGGGCAGCGTTTCTGCTGCAGCGGGGTCTGCTCCGGCGTGGGCAGCACCCCCGAGTCCAGGTCGTGTTGGGTGACCTTGCCCAGCTCCTTGGGCCACCCGTTGGGCATGAGCGGGGCCAGCAAAGCGCCGCGAGCCCGGCGCTCGCCCAGGCGGCTGACGCTCACCACCGACTCACTGTGCGCCAGGATCGTCTCCTTGTCCTTGCGCCGCGCCAGCTCCTTGCGGTCCCGGTGCCCGATGAACCAGCACACGCTGAAACCGGAGATGACGGCGCCGATCACGAAGGCGGCGACGGAGGAGATCACCAGAAGGTTCACCGACACCAGCCCGTCCGGCTCGTCCACGAAGCTCTCCGTCACCAGCCCTGGGGTTGGGGGACACGTCAGGGGAGCTGTGGGTGCCACCAGCGCGTCCCCAGGCCGGTCACAGCCCCGCACTCACCCTCGCACTCGCCCAGGTGGGACGTGCTGCCGCCGGCGATGTCCTGCTCGAAGGCCACCCTGGGGGTGCAAATTGAGGGGGGTCAGTGGGGCTCAAATGGCCCGGCAGAGTCTCCCAGATCCTTTCAGTGAACAATTAATTTGTTGGGGATCAACAACTGGGGGCTGCAGGAGCCGGTGCTTGTTGGGGACACCACTGTCCCCCCGGCACGTCCCCAGGCCCGGCAGCCTTACCTGGGGCTGGGCTCCAGGAAGATGCAGGAGCCCTCGGGTGTCCAGCCACAGTAGGGATCCCGGCTCCCGAGGCAGTTCCTGGCAGGGAGCAGAGATGGCAGGGTCAGCCCTGAGAGGGGGACAAAGCACCCCAACCCCAGCAAGGGACTCCGTGCCTCAGTTTCCCCAGCCGTGCCGAGCCCTGTCCAGCACAGGGTGAGTTCCTGGCACGTGGGGTGATGTGAGCCCCCCACAGCCCGCACAGCCCCCACCGGCGAGCCCTGCCCAGCCCCAGGCACTCACTTCATGCAGCCCGAGTGCTGCTGGCAGCGGGCCACGGGCACCCTGGCCACGCACGGGGGGAAGGCCAGCAGCAGGGAGCCCGCAGCCTTGTCCAGCTCCAGCGCCAGGAGCCGCCGCTCGTCCTCCGTGTCCCGGCCGCACCTGGGGACAGCCAGAGCTCGTCAGAGCTCCAGCCCTGGGCCACAGGGCCCTCCACAGAGCCTGTCCCAGTCTGGAGGAGACTTTTTCATCCATTCCCTCCAGCCTTGCATCCCTCTGACCCATCCTCTCCATCCATCCATCCATCCATCCATCATCCATCCATCCATCCATCCATCCATCCATCCATCCATCCATCATCCATCCATCATCCATCCATCCATCCATCCATCCATCC